CTGGGATATGGAGATGACTCCCAGTCTGCAGAAGATTTGCAGAAAAGGAATATTCCAGCATGATAACAATCCAAGGCACACCTCTCTAAAGGAGAAAAAAGGGAAGACTGTGACCCGACCAAAAATGTCACCGAAGTTGAATCCAATGGAACACTTTTTGTGGTATTTTAAAGAGAAAGTTCATGCAGTCCCTCCAACGGAAAGCAGCTGGAAAAAAAGAAAAAAAAATCCCCGAAGAATGGCACATCTTCAGAACATCTCTATAGAAATTTGAGCAACACTGATATCCTCTATGCTGAGGAGGATGGAGTCTGTCACCAAAAATAAAGAGTCTGTCACCAAAAATAAAGGTGGACATATGAAGCCGTGAAAAGAGTAAAAAATGTTGAATCTCAGCATTTAAAAAAATGTAATGTTAGTTACATTGAGCTGCTACTGCAAAGCCTGTACTTTCAACGCAGTTTTTCAGTTTAAATGCAAGCTTATATACTTCAATGTTTAACCTAAAAGTAATGCGGTTACTGTAAAGTGAAACCATATTGAATCATGTCACATGGATGATATTGTACAAGGGTGTACTCGATGTTGTTGTATACCGTACGTAGATGAACCTGCAGGGTGACATTTATGCGGAAAAAAGAGCATAAATGAACAAATAGAATCCTTCTGGAAGACATACAATGTTTTATAAAACTCCAGTTTACAAATACGACATACTTATGATGAAAACAAGAATCAAATTCACCCCTACTCTGTCGGAACTGTATACATTAAATTACGTGAATTCCTATAAATAGACGCAACAGGCCTCCAGAGGCAACAAAAAATATTAAGCAGATAACGTTTACCTCAGCACAAAGGTTAACATCAGTAATAAATTTGCATCAACAATACATTTATTTAAGCCCATATCCAGTTCAATATGTAAATACAGTAAACATTAAGCTCTGAAAAAATGTAGGCCTCATCAATGCATACATTTATACATGGACGCAATCAACAGTTTGCACCAGTGAATGAACCTGATAATGTATGCACATATTCATAAGTATCTCAGACTGTCTGCGCAAGGAATCTCTCAAATTATTCTTTCATCAAAAAGCATATTCAGAAGATAATCTACTAGATTATATATGCTGAAATATTAAATTTAAGATTTCAAAGAAGCAATTCATCATTCGGGAGCCAAGGTTTAGTAGCAGGAGTGTTTTATGGTGGTGCCACCTCTGGGTGGTAGAGTTGGAACCCACAGAAACACCACGAAGAGATGCCGTGGTGCGCGTCATTGAAAATGCATAGCTGTGGGATAATCCAGATCATCTCGGCATATTGTGCCTTTGAGCCTGCTGATCATTTCTTTTAAATTTTCTGGTACTTTCCCAAAATATGCAAGCCCACAGTGGCACTGTACCATATAGATCCCATGTGTGGATACACAGCTGATGGCGCTGGTGAAGGGAAACATTCATTTTTTTCCATGTGGGGATGGGAAAAATCGTTAGTTTTTACGGTGTTGGTGCGCTCTGCACAATTGCCACAGCAACAGGTGCAATTGGGAATAGGATGCAGACACGTCTGTGTTACTTGACTGGATTTCTCCCTCTGGTCTCCTTCTGTGGGGAACATGACTGATTGCGCACGTACAGCAACTCCCGATTTAAGATGGCTTCCCTTTGTCACAAACCATTTGCCTGATGAAGGTCTGGCACGTCGCAAAAGAAGTGCCTTTTATCAAGACAGACAGTGTGCAGGAGACTCGTTGTTAGCCTCATGAATCTACATTAGCACGGGAAATGTGGAAACATCCAATAGAAACAACCGAAAGTGCCGCCTTCATAAATGTACATCAGCAGCGGGTACATAGCATGAGCAGAGGTGATACAGAAAGAGAATAATAAAGATGGATATAAATGTTCATATTCATGTCTCAGACGCAGAAAAGTCTTTGTCCTTAAATGATATTGCTGTTTTGATGCACAGAGGTAGTCGCAACACTTCCAACTCATGCATTAAGCAGCATGTACACTTAATTAAAACAGCAGACGTGTCCTGCTTGAATGCAGTCAGACCTTGTTTGTGTATTACTTATCACTGTACTCCTTAATATAAAAGTGTTTTTCAAAGGTTGCCAGACCTTTTCTTTGAACTTCCAAAAGCCAGAAACAAGAACTAACGTTGGCACTTCAGAATTTAAGTCCTTATTGTGACGTTGCCTCTGGCGTCAACATGGCCGACAGAATCAGGTAGACCCGCCTGTAAACGTTACAGCTGAAAGAGTGTCACGTTTGATCTTAAATCAAAGCGTCAATTAACTGAGAAATTTTACATTTAATTACTTTGTCAATCTATGACTGATAAAAAAAAGAGAGAGAGAAACTGTTTTGTTGTTCATATTTTTTTGGCTTTACAGGTTTTGTTACTAGTTTATCTGCCGCCTATAAGCTGCCAAATACTGTAAAACTGCTAAAGTGAAATATCTTGTACTTGTAGCAATCCTGCAACATTTTCAGAAGTTTGCAATATTTTTTTTCCCCAATATCTGAATAAAACTACATCGAGCAGTCAGACTGCGTAATACCCCAACATGTATGATAAATGAGATAGCAGTATTTTATAGCAATTCTAACTTTACATTGCATATTCACAGTAATTGCTCAGATTTAATTAGATTTTTTTTGCATTCTGTATTAAGTATTTGTGTCTCTTTTCCCCCCTCTAGGATCTGCTAGTCGTCGTTGTATGCTGGACAATAATGGAGTTGCTTTCTGGGGTCCTCCGAGCTTCGCCAGATGCATCTCACTTGAATATAGATATTTACATTTATCTGTAAGTTTCCTTTCAAGAAATAAGTAGCAACAAACTCAGAAACTCCTTCTCCTGATTGGATTTTTTTATTATCTCCAGCAATTGAAAAGCACTTGTGTTCATCTAGATTACTTTGTTGGAGTCAGTTAGTTCCTGTGTCATCAAGTTTTTTAGTCTCTGTAGTGATTTTAAGAGAAAGTGAAGAATGTTTTTTGCAAGTTCTTTGGTCATTCACACCTTAAAACCCGTAATGTACCTATGTGAAACTTTTGTTCTTTTTTTTTTTTAAAGTTTACTAAAATCAGAGGAGTGTCTTTACTCGAGGCTTGCCACTATCTCTAATTAGCTTTTCCAGAGTTTTGCACTCACACTTATCAATTAATGAATATAGCTAATGAATGTGTTCATCAGCGAGACTGTTTTCCTGCTCTGTGAACTTCAACCTTTTCCATCTACTCGATGATGGCGGAAGGAGATGAGGGTCAGGGATTGTGCGTGACGGAGCTGATTGCACTGTTAGCTTCTGTTCCAACCTTTCATTAACACCAGGAGTCAATAATTAATTTTCTGTGATTGCTGTTATCTTCTGTTCTTCCAGTCTCCCTCGCTCTACCTCTCTCTCTCTCTCTCTCGCTCTCTCTGCATTTCACATTCACACACAGACTTGCTTGCTTTGTGTATCTCTTTCTCTGAAATGATGAGATCCAGTTTTTGCCTGAAAGTGCTGCTAGGCCTCTTTTTGCTTGCCTATTTTAAGCACAAACACAAGAAATCCAACCATGTACATATACACTCCTGTGTGTGTGTATATATATATATACATCCCTCTCAGCTCACATCCAAAACATTACTGTGATTTCTTTGTCAAAAACACAATCCTGCTTGTTTGGTCTTGCTGTTTTTGTCGTTTTTACCAGCTACATATTTTGAGTAACAACACATGCAGTAAGTGCCAAAAGGCTTGCATTTAATCATCTTGTCTATATCAGGCAAAACGTGAAACCATCAACTCTTCTGAATCCCTCTCTCTCTTTCTACACACTGTAGTTACGAGAGCATCTCGCGAAGGGTCAGAGGACCCTGGCTGGGGAGGGCATGTCTCAGATCGTACGGAGTCTCCTGGAGCTCTTGCAGAGGAGGAGCTACTACAGTGGCGACCTTCTCTTTTCCACGGAGATCCTGCGAAATGTGACGGACACCTTCAAAAGAGCAACCTACATCCCAGCTCCCGACGACGTGCAGGTAGTGCGGAGCCGAGTCACAAGCCGTACAACTCGCTGATAGAGTCTCACACGCAGCTACACTCACAACACCTTGAAATTTATTCAATGTAGAAGCTCCACTTTCTACTGCACAGGGTGTGCATAACAATGAACTCAAGCTGCACAGTTGCTATGGCCTCAAAGGGGGGATTTTTAGCAGCGTTTTTCTCTTTTCACTGCCTGTAAGAGAGAGCAAAATGCTCCTGTCTCACTCAATCATTTGACAGAGATATTTTTTTTATGTTTTACAATATGCCTGTGTACAGAAGTCTACTGTACTGTATTTGACAGAAAATGAACTGCAGTACTGCTGCAGTACTAGAGATAACTTTCAGGTGATGGTTCTGCTCTAACAACTAAATGCCTCTTTGTTTTGTGTTTAGAAATTCTTCCAGATAGTCAGCCTCATGTTGGACATCGAAAATTTAGAGAAATGGGAGGACGCTCACCAGGTAAAGCCTTTTTATGTATGAGAATGCTGTGAATGCTTGTGGTTGCGTTCGCCTCTACACACCATAATTAGTAGCTGTCTGCTACTGTACCAAGTGTCCTGAATACATACGTGGATTTGTGTGTGAGTGTGGCTGTGATCACATCATATATTCACTTTTCATTGGTGGAGTCATAAAAGCACACCTGTTTACCAAACACAATGGCTACCTGTTAATTATACTAGGTGTGTGTCCGCGGGTGTGTGTCTTTGCACGTTTGTCTGTGTGTGACCCAGCTGGACGCCCTTGAGCTGAGGTGTGTTTGCGTGCCATCTGGACATCATAAACAAGCAGCCGAATATGATATTTTATCCAATGCGCTTGCGATTTACAGCCCCGAGACACATTCAGTGGTCTATATAATGAAATGAATAAAAAAAAGTTTTCATTGGGCGCCTTTCTTTTTCCATCCCCCTCCACCCACAGGTCGCTCCCGGTGCTGCTTTGCTGATGAGGATATTAGAAGACTTCATTCACCTCATCGGAGAAGCCCAGAAGCCTTTTCAGAGTTTTCTCGTGGTTACCAACAACCTCAGTAGGTGTCACACTGTGTTATCACATCACCAGGCATGACACAGACAGACAAGACGGCTTTTACACCATTAATGTTTAATGGTATTACATAGAGTTAAGGTCAGAGTTTGGCTGGGATTTTTTTTTTTACTATTCCTCACTCTTAGTCACCTTCAGCCAAGATGTTTTTTTTAACTGAAAAAAAAAAGTAATGTGACCTTTCAAGGTGGGTTTTTTTTTGCTCTGTTGCTTTCATTGTTCTTGCTCTAACCTTACCTTTAAGCAGTGCTCTTTGTTTAAGCCCCAGTTTTCCACTGCAGTGAGTTTCAAGGGTTTCTGGTATCTCGTGTTTGTTTTCAGTGATAACCATCCAACGAGAGCCAGTGTCGGCGGTTTCCAGCGATATCAACTTCCCCATGAAGGGCCGGAGAGGGATGAAGGACTGGGCCAGAACAGCAGAGGATAAGCTTTTCATCCCTAAAGAGGTCTTCACCATCCCAACCGAGGGTAAGAAAACTAACAAACATCCCCCTCATTGGGTTAAGCGGTCAAATCCAGCACATGTACGTACACACACAAGATCTGATGTATTTGTTTCGAGGATGTTTTTGTGGAACGATTGTTATCCAGCCCTGCAAGCATGTACACCAGAGTCCAAGGACCATAGTTGTCATTCTCACTCACATTGTTGAGTCTTAAATATATGAGGTTTACTTCACTCAATGCTCTCTTTGACGAAGGTCAGACCATGTCAGCAACAAGGGCTTCCTTTGTATGAACGCCCATACTCAGAGAGTATATCATCGTATCATATAGACAGTTTCTCGAGGATGTTAAAGGGTAACGCTGAGACGGATTTGGACTGTAAAGAGGCCCTGGAGGGCTTTTAAAGAAGATGCAGGTCAGTCATCTGAGAAGAAGTGTGCTGAACTCCAAGTCCTCATGCAGTTTTGAAATTCACTTTAAACAACAAACGCCTGTAACTGCTGCTAGTCTTTACTATTGTCCTTGTTTTAAAAAAAATTCCACGTGGGTTCAGGTAAACCCAAGAAACAAGTAAATATATTGTCCAAATACACACCAAGAAGGAGCTGAAAACAAAGAGATTCCAGGAGGCGTAGCAGCTAATGTTGTAACGTGGATACAAAGGGATGTAAGAATAGGAAGACAGAGGTTCATGCTAGATAGGATAATTACTGTGGCAGATGTGATCCACTACCAACAAAGGCAAAGGTTACATCCCACAGGAAATTACACTGGCAGTCTTTCTGTCTGGCACCTCATCCCCTACCCTGAATTAAAGTTCAGAGCGGCTGCAGGCCAAGAGAGCAGAGCTCACGCTGACCTCTGACTCACACCGATGCCACAGACTCTCTTTGATTGGCGTTCAAGACATCCTGTACGCTCACCTCAGTCTCTTTGTCATGCACGGTGTAACGTGCGCGCTTTAAATCATCTAGTTTTTTTATACGCTACAGAACCTGTTTATGACTTGTCTGTAAATTATTGTGTTAAACTTCTTTCTCCACATTTTATGGAAGAGTGAAGGCAATTGTTGGAAAGGTTGAACACTGGGCTGTTTAATGCCGCAATGTTTTCTTTTTTATTGTTCTCTATTTGTCACGTCTTTCTGTTTTATTTCGCAGCTTGTTGTGGCTTTTTCGCCCCTCCGCCATCTTGATTGGGGTTTTTTTTTTTTTGTCCATTATCCTCATAGTTTGCAGCGGTGGACGTTATGTCTCTCGCGGTGCTTATTGTGCAATAAAAGTGACCAGCTGCATCACATTTACACCGGGATTTTCTCATGCGATATTCAGCACATGCCATTGCCATTTTGGCATGCGCTATTTGGTAAATTGTTTCATCCAAGCCGTGTATTGCCTCATGAGTTAGGACGTTATTAATACTCTTTTGCCCCTGTGGGAACTGTGCCTCTTCCCATTGGCAGCCCATGAGTTGAGATCTTCAGTTGATTGCTATCGGTTTGTTTGGTTCATTTACCCCGTAATGAAAGCCTATTTCAGATGGACAGCTTAAACATGCTCATAAAGGCCCATCGGTGCGCTTGTGTGTACACGTGCGCGCACTGGCGCACATTCGCGCGGCCAATTGATAGGTTCATGAATCGCTTCGGTGGGCAGACGTTGGGACTGTTCTTCACTGATTTTCGAGGTGACAAACTCCCTCTCTCCCTCGGCTGCCCTTTTTTTTTCTCCCCTCTCTCTTGCATGCAGACAGCAGCCGTAACACGCGAGTCAGGAATGGCTTCATATTTCAAATGCCCCCGTTGTTGGTACACGAACACGGCAATGCGTCGTTAACTTTTAAGCATAACTCAAGCAAGAGCACAAACCACATGAGCTCTACGCTCTAATAACGTGGGCGAGACTGACTTTCTCCTTTGTAGTTTTAACTGTAACTGTGCTGAGGTGCAAAATGTGAACTAGAGCTGGGAATCGGGTGGTTTTAAATTAGCAAGTCATGCGGAAACCAAGTTGTGTATCTTTAAACGAGTAAGAAAGGGTATTTCCTAAGATGTCACACTACTCCTTAAAGAGTAAGAAATGAGACAAATGAAGCAACTTGTATGTCTGCACAGTAAAGGGTAATTCTAGCTTTATTTAACCTGATGTATTTCTTATAACAGTGGCTGTAGCAGCTGCTCGGGTTGTGCCATTACCACTTTATGTGAAGCCATTCAGAGAACAAGGACTCATACAGTACAATGTAGGTGAACGCCTGCCATTGCTTTCCAAATAAACAGGATTTTTACATAAATCATTTAACGCCACTCTCTGAGCCTGACTGAAAGTAAACACAGAAAGTAGTTGCCTGGAACTGCCATTATCATAACTGCATTAGGGATTTACAGGGAAACTCAATAAGCTAATTGCTATGGCGGATTACGCTTTGGATTGTTACGAGGACAAGTGATTTCACTTTGATGGTCAACTGTATTCATCCAAACTGGAGTAAACAGACGAGGGGCTAAATCAATTGGAAGGTTGCAGGCATACACGAAGAAGATCCATCCTGAAAGACAGGGTTTCTTGGGAAACCGGTGGAGTCACAACCAGAAGGAAAGCTTCGAGTTAGACCTGTTGATTCTAGATTTAGAAAGATAAATGTGTCTCGACAAATCGGAGTGATTCCAGAGGGGGAAACTGCAAGAAGTGATTTTGCGACGCTTAATAAATTGCTGTCCTGAATACTTTTAATTCGACTCCTGAAGATGGACTGGCTGGAGCAAAAGGCACATATGGCATGGAATGTGAACACAGTGCTGTGTGAGGGATTACAGAATGTGTGTCCCATCAGCGACCAACATTAGCATCTGATTATATTGCTTGACCCACTGTGAGCCAAAATTACTACGGTAACTGTTCCAGGCAGCTGCTTTTAGTGTGCGTTTTTTTGGAACTAGGACAGAGCATCTGCAAGTGCGATTAGTCTTACATCTAAAACAAAACAAAAAAAGTAAAAAAGCATATTTCCGAAAACTACTGGTTTAAGAATCAGCTTGATTAATTACAGCTACGTACATTAGATTTACCTCAGAGAAATTTAGTAGGGAGTGGGAAGAAGGTAGTTTATAATATCGCTGACCTCTAGTAAGTCAGGATGTTCAGATGGGGAAATGTAAAGTTTGTATGTTTTCTGCGAAGACGCGAAACCGCGGAAGACTTCGGAAAGTTGAGAAAAAGAGTGACTCACAAGGAGCTGCTCGGATGGAGCTTTTGATCTTTGATTAAACCCGTAAATTATGGCTTAGCATCAACTCCCAAGCATATCTTTTCCTGATAAATGGCACACTAAAGTTCACAGCTGGTGACTGGTGGTTTGCCATTTTGCTGGATTACTGCTTGACCACCAATCATCTGGATGTTCGGCAAGAGGGGAGAGTGACGAAAAGTGTGTTCATGGGAAATTAGAGTTTTGTGATTGAGTGCTTTTGTGGCATTAATCATCCTCGAGCATGGGAGCGCCACCCCCTCACATACTGATTTACCATTTACCCATAATACACTGACTCTCTCATTTGCATGCCTTTGCAGACACTGTCCAATTAGGATCCATCAAACTCGCAGGCTTTCTCATGCTGACTTTGATCTGTTTCTTTTGCCTCCTCACAGTCTCAAAATTGCCTCTTTTTTTTTTCTCCACTGTCGAGATCTTTTTGTCTCTTCTTCCTTCTCTCCTCGACTGTCTTGCATAGCTATCTCTCTTCCCGAGTATTACCTCTCAGGCAGCAGGCAGACAGATTTTGGATGAGTCACCCAGTACGTCTGATACCATCAGCCCCCTCTGTCTCCTCCTCTCTCCCTCTCTCTCTCTCTCCACTGATGCTCATCCATTGCTTCTCTCAGCCTAAAAGGGCAAAGGAGGGAGTGGCATCTCTCAACATGAACTCTTTCCCTCATACTTTTCCTCTCTGCTTCCTTTTGCCTCCCCTCACTTGAGACAAAGTGACATTTACAGAGGGACACTACGTCTCCTTGGGAGCCCCTGCTCTTTTTAGTGAAAGAACACTGAATGGAGTGATGGGAAGACGAAGGGGTTGCGGGGAAGGACCACTGAAAAGGGTGGTAAAGTTGAAAAGTGGGCTGGTGAAAAGCAACAACAACAGAGGAGGATAAGAGGGGCGAGCGGTCAGGAGGAGGAAAGAAAGAAAGAAAGGGGATTTGAAACAAGCAGAAAGACAGAGAGCGACAAGGACATTGCGTAAAGACGGCTGAAAGTTTGGCGCGTGTTGTCGTGAAGGACTTGGTTTTTCAAATGAGGCTTCTGTTTTACAGCAGGTCTAGCTGAGCCGTAAGCGAGCTACTAGCTGCTCAAAGGCAAACAAATTGACACAAACAGCGTCTCTACCCACGCAGAGTGCGAAACCAGGATCTAACATCTGACTTACTTTTACATCTCAGAAGCATAATAAGGCTGGAATATGTAGCTGACAAACGCTTCAAGAAGGCACTGCTATTTACCGACTCCTCTTATTTTGATGCAGCCAGCAGGGCATTTGTTGGCGACGCATAAATAAATGAAGGAATTGCAGGTTGATGAGACCGCCGAAGTCGTCGCTTGTTCGCTTCATCAACTAACAAATGCATTTATTCGATCAATAAAGGTTGACTCAAATTGAATTAGTCTTAAATTGCAGCACTTCAGCCTAAATATCAAATTATAAGGTGTGCAAAGAGAAATTAGGGTTTTTAATTTTAACCCTCTGAACTCTTAAGTTATTTTGCTGCATTTTTAATTTTATTTTTTGCCTGCATCTCTATGGAAACAGCACAACCAGGACTTCTGTGCAGTATAACAAGTTATAATATCATAAATCCTAAAAACAATAAAGGACAGTTGAGTTGCTTTGATTATTTATTTGACAAAAAATAGCTCAAACTTTAAATCAGTATGTACAGCATTGTCCCAAATGCCCACTGTTGTTACCGATACTCGAAAAATGGTGCAGAATAGTGCTTCTATACGGTATTGTATATATTTACGAGTTACATTTTTAATTTGTTTCCTTGCCTCGTATTGGCTCTGTGTAAACACAGCCTGCAGCTCAGCCCAGTCCAGTGACTTCAAAGTTGCATATTTGAAGTGTCTTTTTTTGTTTTTTTACAGAATCTGTTTAGAACAAACAGTTAAGGTTTGATTAATTTGCAAAATGATGAATGAACTTATTTGAAATATCACAATTTTGACCTTAGATTTCGACAGTTTTCCCGGTGGAACCACACGTCAAACCAGTTTGATGAATCATTTTGTTTCTGCAGTTCGTGGGTCTGATAATAGTTGTAATTTTGCCATTTAAAAAACAAACAAACAGACAACACGCTGTAATGGAAAAATACTGCATCTGCATGAAGAATGTCAAAGCAAGTTTCTCTAAGTTTCATTAAAGCTGAGTGGAAAGGTTACAGGCCCAAAATGTGTCCCCATAACATCGAGGTAAACACTAGTGGCTGTACATGGGAAGAAGAAGTTGTGCATCCCATGTGTTTAGACTTTTGATGCCTGATCCAGCGTGTTTAGTCTTCTAATGTCTGTGGATGAGTACACCCTGTACACCCAGCTGTTGTTTTCCAGCATGGGATTGTTATACCACTGTTGGAGTAAAGACCACGCCTGTACATGTATAAGAAGACTACGCTGCCTGCACTCATGTGTACTCTCCTGCAGACTGCTTGCATTCTGTATGACCTGTACCTTCAAAGCTTTGAATAAAACGAGACAAAGACAACTCGGACTACTGGACTTTATGTAGATCATAGAAAATTTCCTCAACAACGCCTTTCAAACCCACCGCACCCTCTCCTCCTTACCAACATACAATCTCCACTCGTCATGATCTTGTTTGTGTTTTAAATTTCAACTCGTGCCGTTTACCTTTTTGTTTGTTCTTTTTAGTATTTAAAATGGGAAATCATTATGACTTTCCACTCTTTTTGAACTGTTCGTACTCTCCAACAAATGTCTTTGTTTTTGGTGTTCAGCAACCTTTTGCACAAGATAACAAGGGATACACAGCATAAATGTATTGATGGATTGGTACATTTATAATTTATCTTGAAGGTGTTCCAGCCAGAGCAGAACATCTCTTTTGGGCTGATCAGTTGCAAAAAAAAATGTTCTTTTCTTTCAGAGACAGAAATGGACTCGGAATCTACAATGTACTATGTCATCGGAGCCGTCTTGTATAGGACACTGGGTGTCATCTTACCCGCACCAAAGTGAGTATAGAGCTACTCTTTATTTTTTTGTGAGAACTTTATTTCACCTTCTTTTCCTTTCCTTGTCCTTTATTTTACCTTTCTGCTACTCTTCTTTTTTTTTCAGTACTTTGTCTGACTTTTCTTCTCCCTTGTATTCTCTTTCATTTTTTTTTTTTTTTTTTTTCCATCTCTATTCTCACTACCTTTCTATTTCGGTGCCCTTTCTTCTGTCGCTCCTTCCCTCTATCTCATTCCAACATCCAATCCTCTCCCTGTCTTCTTCTTATATTGCCTCTGTTGCTTCTCTCCACTCCTGGTGTCTGCTTGGTTATCAGATTTTTTTTTTTTTTTGCTAAAATGTACATTCCCTCGACGTTTTTTCCCCCTTTCTTTTGCATTGTCATTGTATTTTTGGAAGTGTACACTGGGCTAGGAATTGGTGCGGGCCTAATGGGTCGTGGAACATGCATAGAAAAAAAATAGAATTAAGAAGAAATCAGAAGGTTGTCAAAAGGCCACTGTGATATGGTGTTTGTACTGGCCCCGGGCCCTTTTATTCAGGTCAGCGCTCTTGGTTGTGGATGAGCTGGATCTGTTAAAACCCTTTTCTCCCTGTAGCTGTGTTGAATGTTAATAGGTCCTGCATTCTGTTTTTACTAAAGCACTCTCTTTAGATTTCCGTCTCTCTCGTTAGGTTTTTTTTTTTTTTTTTTGTATAATTTTTTATTTATTTATGTGTACACTTTTGCAAATACCCTTGAAAGCCCTCAGAAACATGGGAGTGATCTGAGTGCATGCATGTGTAAGACAAAGAGAAAGAGCTCACCAGCAGGTTTTATTTATTTATTTATTTTTGGTCCTTTTGTAAGGTTCAAGGCACAATTTTACTTGGAAAATTCTCAAAAAAATGCTAATCATTTGTGTGTGTTTGGACGTTTGCAGTCCCCCTGCCATCATCAACTCCAAGATCCTGACAGTGACGGTACGACCAGAACCGCAACCCAGCGAGCCCATGGTGGTGGTGGAGCTGTCCCTGCTTTTAAATGTGAGTATATTGAAAATTGGATGTTTCCAACTGCAAGGCGCACTCTGTCTTCAAGCAATACAAACACTGGAAGCTCTCCAGGAGCCCAGAGGACGAGACAAATTCATCATACCAAGGATATTCTTTCATTATCTGGCTCCACTGAACCTCTCACAGCCACAGTCAGGCTAAGTGGTCACTAAAAGTTAGTTATCAACTAGAGTAAGTCAACCCAGGGTTCCAGATGAAAGAGGTGAACAGCTGCAAACATGGACAGGTCTAGAGCCTCCTATTTCTTAACAGAAAACAACCCACAATCCTGAACTTCTACGAGGAGTTTTAAAATATAATACAGTTCAAAGCAACACAGCGACTTCCGCCAAAGTCAAGAAGGAAAGCTGGCAACAAACTCAGACTTTGTGACTGCAAAATTAAAAGGCTTGTCAATATTACTGTCCCATTGTGTGTGAGTTGCTTAGATGTCGGCTTCTAATCAAAGATGCGAGACTCATTTTAATCATCATTATGCATCACATGATTGTGTAACAAAATTACAAATGTAGCCCCTGAATGCTACTCACAGAAACGATGCATTATTTAAAGAATAAATAATCAAGTTATAAAAATAAAACTGTTTTCATGGTTCTGATGAGGATGAATTCAGTTATTTCACATTCAGTCTCATTGTTATGGCACATTAGACAGTTGCTGCGGCCCTGGTGGTTTGAATGGTTTTGTGAGCAAGTGAAGAATGTAAAAAAACGTAATTTAAAGCGATAAGTAGCCTCGCTGCAAATCTTATAAGGTCAACAAGCAGCCTATGAAGGTTTAGTGTTTTAATCAGGTTCTGTTTTAGGATTATATCGCTCTGCAAAGGCCTATAGAACAATTAAATGCTTCTGAAATGGCTTGCAGCACTAAAACCCTGACCTTCTCTGTGCTTCGAGCTCTACGAGATCTTCCAGGAACAGTGAATTTGTTTACCAAAAAGAAGAGCAGATTAGGTTTTCAGCGTAATTCACCATGATGAGTACCGCAGAAAGCAATGAACCTCCGTCATCGGACTGGAAAAACCCTGGCTTGAACCTGCGTTTACCTCGCTAACCCTGAACGCTGCTTCACTGTGCAGACCTCTGAACAGCCAGACTGTTTCAAGAGCAATGCACGAGGAAATGAAGAACATTTCTTCTATTTTGCAAACAACTACAGACAATCACTCAAAATAACCACCATCACATTATTTACCGAGTAATAGATTTCTTTTTTTTTTTACTATACACTTGTAGATTGAGCAAGTAGTGGGTAAACAAAATAAATGGGTTTCAGGCTTTAAAGGAATCCTCTTCTCCCAGCTGACCCATGTTTCCGGAGTTCAGATGAAACAGAAAGTGCTGCATGCTATAAAGCGCCACAGCGCTGGGTGAATTGCCTGAATAAATGCAGACCTTTTTGACTTCCTTATATCGCGGTGTCTCCTGATACCTATTCAGTTTATATTGCAGTGAAGTGTGTTATTATAAACGACTCATGGGGTGTCTTCAGTGGAAAGGACTAAGTGCTGGTTTAATGAGAGGCACGCTTCACGACCTCAATAAGAAGTGGGTTTCATTAGACATTCCGCTGCGTAAAAGGTGGGCACAGTTTTGAAAATAATGTCGAATATTTAATTGTTCTCTCTAGACAACACAAAATACGTATGTACGCACATGCCAAAATCTCCCAATGAAATCAGTCTCTTGCTGTGTCAACCAGGACCTAAGGGTCAAAATTATTGCACAGTGTTTCATTAAGAAGACTTTGTATTCATTCTCCTTCCCCCGCTGCTCCATCTCCCTGCTTTAAACCGCTGATTCATTACATAATAATGGCATTTCCTTTATATGCCTCTATCTTTTATCTTCCTATTATTCTGCTTTTTAACACTTTTGGCAGAGCAAAAGCTACTGCAGGTTGCACAGCCCACTGTCTAGAGGATGATGTCTTAATGCTGATCCTAGCATGCTGCTCTGTGCTACAAGCTGGAGGCTCCCGCTGAGGACAGGCACTTCTCTGGCACACAGTGCAGCACTTTGCTAGGACGGTGTACACAGGGGAGATGTTCCTGTGTACACCCTAAACCACTGGTTGTGAGGCTCGTGATTTAGGATAGCTCTTGCCGAAGTTCGGTGGATTCGCAAGAGATGGACTCAGAGAATAACGGATGCAGCAGAGGCTGAGGTATCTCGACTTCATATGCACCGCACATCAAAAAGTCTCAGTCCTGCTTTTTCCCGTTCCGAACGGCGTCTTAACTCTATCATCAAGAGAAATATGTGATGTGGAAATTTAATTAAAGCCACGTCGTGGAGTGAATGCATATCTGACACTTAACAAGAGAATCACATGACAACAGAAGATGCGAGCGATTAGAACAATATTAATTTGGGTATTGTATTATTTTAATTTATGGGGGTTTCATTTGATATGGAACCACTACTCATAGCCGTATATATTCATAATTAATACATGAAATTAATTTAGGCTTTAGCGACTACGAAATACAGGATTTTATTAGATATTTTTTTAAAAAAAAGAAATTCAACTGTGTCTTATCAATTAGTCTCCCGCAAAACTCAACCACACACAAGCCTTAATGCACAGATTATAAATATGACTTCACATCAATCATAGCCACACACATCCATAATATTTGATATTAATTTTGGTTTTACCGACTCCTAAACACGTAATTTAACAAGAAGAAATTCATCAATCAAGCAAAATAGGTTCGGTAGGACTGCATGAAGGTAACAAAATCCAACTTAGAACATCTCTACAGAACTGATGAAGCCTCTTGGATGACAAGTGAAGCGTCTTCAAGGAACTCAAGCAAGTCCACGATTAATCTACCTCAATAACCTCTAAAGCAGGGGTGTCAAACTCTGGCCCGCGGGCCAAATTTGGCCCGCTTTGTAATTATATTTGGCCCGCGAGACAATACCAAATGACTACTAGAGCTGCCCCCGGTATTGTACTGTACATGCATTCACTGCTAATACTACAAATCCCATAATGCCCTGTTGTTGTTTTGGCGCGTCAACCAGGACAGGACCCAGAAACTCCCTCTCCTCTGTGACAGTAGGCATAGCGACTTCACTCTACAACTGTCACTGTGCCATTGATGTGTTTTTTTATTTATAATTTGATTTTGCATGTCTCCACTAGGGCTGCAAGGTGGCGCAGTTGGTAGCACTGTTGCCTCGCAGCAAGAAGGTTCGCGTCCCGGTACCGGAATCTTTCTGCGTGGAGTTTGCATGTTCTCCCCGTGCAGCGTGGGTTCTCTCCGGGTTCTCCGGCACACAGTCCAAAAACATGTTGAGGTTAATTGGTGATTCTAAATTGTCCGTAGCTTGGTTGTCTGTCTCTAAGTGTATCCCTGTGATAGACTGGCGACCTGTCCAGGGTGTCTCCCGCCATTACCCTGAGTCGGCTGGGATTGGCTCCAACCCCCCTGCAACCCTAGTGAGGATTAAGCGGTGTATAGATAATGGATGGATGGATGGATGTCTCCACTATTAAGTTATATATCATGTATGGTAATAAGCGTTGCTTGTTCCATGTTGAATGTTAAAGCAAAATTTGTTTCAGCCCATATTAAAAGGTTCATTTGTTCAATGTTGCCCCCGCGACTTTGTTCAGGTTTGAAATTTTGGCCCACTGTGTTTTTGAGATTGACACCCCTGCTCTAAAGGATACCTTTATGCTCGAGCTAGCCACCAAGAATAACGATATGTCTTTAAAACTCAATCCAAACAGCATTTTTTTTCCTCAAGGTTAAGCATAATTGCATCGACATCTTCCGCTCATCAACGACTCGACCGCGAAACTCAACTACACACGAGCATTAATGTGCATTCACACGCGATAAATATGTTTTTTTTTCTTCAAGAGTGCCAACCCTCCTGCCATGCTCTTCAGCTTGTGGTTGGTGTTGACCTTGGCCAGCGTAAAAAAACATCCAGCTCCTGAAGCAGCGGCGTTGGCAACAGCTGCCTCAGGCCTCGCTCTCGAAGGGGGGAGTGTAGGGGCCTCGGTGCAGGGTCATGTCTTCGCTGAGAGGACATCTGCTCCAGTCAGACTCCTCTATGCATTTCCCTGGTGCCCTAATGTGTGTGTGCGTAGTGAGTAAGAAGCAGGAGGCCAGAAAGCTCCGTGTCCCTACAGTAGACTAGTGCACCATATGCCAAGTATTCCCCTACAACACCCCTCCACCTCCCATCCTCCTCCTTCAGCCATCCTTCATGTAGCTTTTTTCAATCATAATAGGCAGCTCTGCTTAGGCTTTAAAGACCTGAGCTAGGATCCTTCCTGGTAATATCCCTGTAATCTAGGTGACTTTCATCAGTCAAAAAGCATCACCCTGGCTGCTCCATTTCATTTTCTGAATCTATAATCTTTGATATGAGGTGGAAAGGCTTTTAAGACTCCCCCGAACCGGCGCGGCCATGTTCTGTTACATTAGTTCATTTAATTTTATTAGCTTAGCACATTCACAGCCGCTATTCTTTACCGGTGGAGAAAAACTGCTGTTCCTTTGAAAAGGAAAAAAAAGAAAAAAAAACAGCGCTTTTAAGGGAGATGCCATTATCGCTGTCCACGAACGCGACAGCATCACAGACACGCGTTGCTCCCTTTGAGAGGCCCTCCGTCGAGCAGACGCCGCCGTTATGCAAGGTATCAGCACTAAAGAGGAGGCAGACATTGTGGGAGTACACAGGTGTCACTCCTGCTGGAGCGAACAGTCGGGCACGGCGCTCGCTGATTGATAGCTGAATGCTAACAGAGCTCGCCGCGCTAATGCACGCCCAGGGACATCTAATGTCGGCGGCGACGGCGGCTTACGTGTGAGGCAGAACAAAGCGCCGTCATCCATCAATCCGTGTCACCTCGTCTCTGATCCTGCGTATATAAATGTTGCATCATTCCGTCCCTTTCAAGTCCGGTCCTGCAGAGACCGGTGGATGCACTGATTCATGGGAGATCAGTTGTGAACTGTACAGAGAGGGAAGGACGACCTTGCCTTTGGAGGAATAAATCCTCACAGTGCAGGTTTTGAAAGTGCATCACCTCTTTCTCTCTCCTTTTTTTTTTTGCTCTTTTAAAACACTGTTGATTATCAGAAGAAGAAGAAAAAAAAGTTTGCTTCTTATTCAAGGAGAAGTATTTCTTCAAATTATCCCCAGGCTGCAATAAGTCTTGTATGGACATCATCCGTTTTATAATGGACCCAGCAGTCTGGCTGTGGAATTACTGCTATAATCCCCTTTGCCATAGGGGGGAGCTCAAAGGCAAAGTGCGTAATGCAGGACTCAGGAAGGACCAACAGACTAGTACAGAGAGGGCTCCATTTTCCTCTGCATCAGCCCAGCGGAAGAAGTGACATTTCGGTTGTGGGTGATTAACTGCAGGCCTGACCGCTCTCCTCTGAAGAACCCAGAAAGTGGTACTGGATAGCTGATTCCCTCCGACGAGGACCACGGTTGCTCCGTTTGACAGCTCCTCGTGTCTCCTCGTTCTTTTCAATGAGGAATAAATGTAAAAAGTGAAAATTTGATCCAGGTCAGACAGCCGTAAAGTTCACCTAAGCCGCAATCCGATCTTTATCAAATGAGGCATACAGGTTGAAAGGGCACCGGAGATCCATTTGAAAGTAATCAATGCAGAGATCACTGAAGATCACCGCTGGAACAAGTTGTGATGAGTCAGTTAAAGATATTGATCCCCTGATTCATTCACAGATTGAGTTGTGGCAAGTCTTCCTTCGCCACCACGCGCCGCTGAGCTCTGATTACCACATGATTCACCTGCCATTTGACCCCAGCGATTGGCTTTTAGCTCCAGCGGATCGATGGATTAAGAATGAGCAGACAGCAAATCACAAGCGTTTAGTCCCTTTTGAGGGATTATCTTGCTTTTTTTCCCCCCTGATTTAACATGCTTGGTACTTTGGTGACACTCTGAAAGGGCCGCTTCTTCATTTCCCCCATACTTGTTTTTACTGCTTCATAGTTGTTTACATTTACTTCACTACTTTCCCCTGTGGTTGTACTTAAGGACGAGATTTGAATGCTTTTCCCCACTGCAGGATGTTTATGACCCCAACTTGCTGCATATTATTGTCCATGAAATGGCTTTTCTTTTGTTGTTTCCAACGCTCTCGATTCATGGCTCCGCACACCTTCCCTCTCTTTCTGCGGCGGCATCAGCTATTTGCTGCTCTGTCCTCTGACAATGACTCGTTCTCCATCTCTCCCTCCTGCCGTCTGTCTCCATCCTTCTCTTTCATTGTCTGTTTACCTCTCTCCATTGGCCATGCAGCATCACTCTTTCTCCTCTGGCAATGAGCTATTCTGTCTTCTCCCTGCCTCCCTCTCTCACTCATCCTCTCGACTGGCAATAACAGCTTATCTTCTCTCTCTCCCCCCTCTTCTCTCCTCCCCCCTTCCCCTCTTTCTCCCTCTGTATCTTGCAGGGTACATCGGATCCTCAGTGCGTTGTCTGGGACTATGGCAACCCGTAAGTTACTCTCAACCATTCAGATCCCCGTGCATGTGTGCTGGCGTGTACAGTGCGCGGAAATACATGTGTGTCTGTGTCGATGTGTATCTCGTGTGCTCTTGCGCCCAGTCGGATTCATTTTATTAATGAACTGAGAACAGTCTAATGAAGTTCTCTGTGTTGGTGGTAATTAAATTACTCACTGAGAACAAACACCATTCTCTCTGCGCTGCTAAGAGTTCAAAAGTAACATCGCTCAGAACTCCTCCGTGGAGCTGCTCGCCTTTGTTGCAGTCCTCTTTTTCAGCCTCTACCTTTTCTCACACCATGTTGGTGGTTTAATTTGCTCGTCTTTATTCCACCGTGGGAATTCAGTTTAATATGGACAATGCAGTCGTATGCCATCGCTATCCTGAAGTGTTATTCTATATTTAATGGGCTTTTTTCTCATTTATCTAAGTAGGCCACAGACTTTTTTTTATTTTTTTCCTGAATAGTGGACCAGCTATTGAGCCACATAATGTAAACCAGCACAACTGATCACGCTGGTGTTGCCATTAACCCACATAGTGATTGACTTTGGGTCAATAAGTAAGTTAAAGTTGCTCAGAGCCATTAAACCGGGCTTTGGTTCCGGGTCATTGTCTGATTGCGCTGCAATTCTTTGAATGGCCTATATTTTCTAACCATGTCAGTAGAACCGACAAGACTCAAGCCTGTCACTCACTAATTTGTAAATGTGTAAATGCTGCCTGGAGGACATTTACGAGCAGTATTTTTTTTTCCTAATTGAGCAAGTGTCTCGGTTATACTGTCTAGAAATCGTATGGAGGAAGTATTGGGGGTGAGGTGAGGTCAGTGTGGGTAATCAGCCAAATAAAATATGGGACTGGCAGCTAGGTTTAGGCCATTAGTTAGCCGTGTGATTCGTTTTGTTAGGGACAAACAAGGAAATTGAATGAAGCTGAACAATGAATGAAACACAGTGATGCTTTTTCGGCCATCTCTTGCATCTCTCTCGACGGTTCATTGGGTACTTAAGGTCTTTCTCACTTCTTTGTATTGCAGCTTGTAACCTAAGTTCAGACTCTCCATTATTCTGCGCATTTTGAGGACCTCACCTCGCTGTTGTAAAGCTTGCATTTGACACTTTGCCTACAAACAGTTCTGTGATAGCTGAGCAAACTTAATCTGATTATGAAAATGCAGAGATTCGGTTAAAAGCTGCACAGCAATTAATTAAGAATGCAATTTTGTGCGACGTCATGTCATTCGAAATGTGTTTGTTTATGCAAATAAGTTGTATATGAACCTAATTTTTATCAGATATATGATGCTCAGTAGTTAGCCTTGCAGCCAGAAGGTTCCCGATTCGCGTCCCGGTGAGGACACCAGGGATCTTTCTGCGTGGAGTTTGCATGTTCTCCCCGTGCAGCGTGGGTTCTCTCTGGGTTCTCCAGCTTCCTCCCACAGTGCAAAAGCATGTTGAGGTTAATTGCTGATTCTAAATTGTTTGTAGGTGTGAATGTGAGTGTGCTTATTTGTCTCTATGTGTAGCCCTGTGATACTCTAGCGACTTGTCCAAGGTGTCCCCTGCCTTCACCCTGAGTCAGCTGGGATAGACTCCAGCCCCACTGCGACCCTAGTGAGGATTAAGTGGTGTATAGATAATGGAAGGATGGATGGATGCTCTGACAGAGCCAATAGCTTTAGTACAAACTGCCATCTCAGAAGGACTCCCTTTCTCATGTGACAACAAGATAGAAATATTCTAGTCAGCTCAACTCCCCCCCTCGGGATCACATTAGTTTATCCAGTTCTAGCGCGGTGCTCTCTGGTGAATAGCACACAGTGGGAGTGCAGGTTCGCGGGGAGAGGACAAGGCATTGTAACTTATCAAACTACCCCTCTCCATCAAGGTGGGAGAGGAACAATGCTTGGCAAAGTCAATTAACTAGCCGGCAGATTACAGCTGCAATCAAATTAAATTCGCAGACATGACGAGGGCAGGGAGCCAAACGGAATACAAAGTGGCAAGGTGGCCGTGATGACAATCAACCAAACATACCCAAAGTGGAAGGAATGTGGAAAACAACCAAATGTGTTTGCCAGGGATTAGGTAACATGTTTGCAGACATACAGAGGACACAAACACACGTCCCCACCAAGACCTACGTTAATGCTAATGCACCAGCATGCAAGAGATGTAGTGTTTAATTACATTTACTATGCGCTATGGATTGTTTTGACATCCTGTAGCAAGCAACGCAAAACAACAAAAAAAATAATGTTGCAATTACAATCACTGAAGCTAGCTGGGAGGATCAGCGAAAATTTTAATGCTCATGTCAGCCCTTCCTGCTCCCCTGAATTGACTGGGAGAAGCTGCTCATGAGATCCATGGGTTGTTTACATTTTGAGCTAATGCACAGATTTGAACGTATCAGTATAAACAGCCTCGAGTCATCACAACATCCTGCAGAGGTGCTTTTAGTTAAAGGATGTGAGTGTGTGAACCACAAGAAGCCAAGATTTCCCTGCAAAATCAGATGATCACATGTGAAATTGATACTCATGCATACCAGCGCCTGTAAATCTGGTTGCGTACCTATGCGGAGACGAGGAAATAGCGTGCATATCCCAACTCCACAGTGTCGGTACTTCAGCCCTCCACCATTTGTTTGTTTGTGCCAGGCAGCGGATCTTGACTGGAGCTGGGCATGAGCATGCCATTGATATGGACAGAGAACATGTTGTACAAAGCAGCCGTTTGTTTGCTGGAGGATATCACCTCTCTCAACCTGGCTGTCTCTCTGACTGAGCCACAGGCTTTGAGGGGTTGAGCGCAAGGCAGACAAGAGGTGGAGAACGTATAGATAGCAGTGTGGAGGGAGGGCAGGCATGGCAGCGGCAGAAAATAAGTTCAGCTCAGAGATGGGAGAAAGAAAAAAAAAAAAAACCTTTGCCGCTCTGTGACCTGCATATGGAGGCTATATTTAGTGCGCACTGATGCATTTACATTTGAAATGGATTATTTTCTCTGTGTGTAATTGTTGTAATGCACACATGTGTAATGTACGCTTACTTGGAGATTACACAGAGGCTCAGATCTTGCAAAGCCTATTGTCGATCCCCATCACAACCATCTATGATTTTAAGCAGCGGTGTTCCATTTGGAAGTCTGCGAGCGATTTCGGCGGCGGCAGCTCTCCACCATTCTGCGCTCCCTCTCTCAGCTGGCTAAGTTGGCCGACAGTTTGTGGCACTCACAGTTCATCTCAGTATTTATGTGTGAGTGTTTATTTATTTATTTTGCCCCTAACAGGCCCATATGTCGGTACCATCTGCCCACCCAAATCGTTGAGCTTGCCATCCCTCCCTGTCTTCCCCCGTGCGCCTGTCGCCCCCCCCAGCCCCCTCCTTCAACCAACTCTCAACCTGTTTTCATTTGCCTTGCCGGGCTCGAATAGATGCCGTTATGTTTAGCTCTCATAAAAGTTTTATAGGGTTCAAACCTGCAAGCTCAGGTTAGCGAACCAAAAGGGAGGCTGTTAGGAGTAAAAATACACCTTTTCTGATCGTGTACAGAGGTATACAGGGCACTGAAATGAAAGCGGAGATCGACAAGACTGTCTTCACGTTGTCATCATTGTCTACCTTGAATCCTCACTCGATATTTCCACCAACTCTCTCGCTTTCTTTCCTTTCCTGCTTGTCTCTTGCTGACTCTCTATTCCACTGGAAATGATGATGGGTGTTCTACTTGTCTTTGCTCTGGTTCCTGACCTTGCCTCTGGCATCTCTGTGCTCTGACCCTCACTCTGCCTCGGTGTGGGATATCTAGCCGAACCCCCACTGACACACGCTCGCTCTGCTGTAAAGCACGTATCGCATGTCTGGTGCATTATGGATTACTGTTGCTCCGTCAGATTGCTGAAAGATTTGCTGGCGTCTATAAAATATACATTGCGCTGCTCAAACATTTATTTATGCGTCACTCATACATTCCCATTTCATTTCTAATAAGCACAGAAGCAACTCGCTGTCACACAAATGACAAAAAGCTGAAACAGCGATGCAACGCAGCCAGTCGACTGAGCAATCTCATTTAAAAGCGTGCTTAAAAATATAACCCAGTAGGACGAGATGAATGTAATATACACTTTAGATGGATGGATGACAGTAAGCTCGTGAAGGCCTGAGGGTCATTTAATCCTATTTCTAATCCTCATTGGTCTTCAGCTTGATCGGGGATCAGCGGTTAAAGAGCCGGGCACCCCACCCTGCTCCCCCCCCTGCCGCCGCCGCCGCCGCCCATCACTGCCATAGAGTAATAAAGACCTGGTGTGCAGCGCAAGTAGCTTTAACATCCTCAATCTGACACGGTAGATTGAGGCTTGCTTTGGGCTCAGGCTCATCTGCAGCCACTATCAGCTTTGGCACCGGCCTCAACCTTAAATGAAGTAAAAAGTCAAAGGCATATTCTGCGCGCTGCCAAAAAACTAGCTGGGCACAAATCTGGCCAAAATGTAATCGCATTTACTTTACAAAAAGGCATGGCGGCAAGTTGTGACCTTAGCCAAGCGTGTGACAATTTTAATTCTTATATTGGCAGATTTATGGCCTGCCAGAAACCATCTATAACTCTCCTGAGAAACAAACAAACAAGTAAATGAATGGAGGAACTGATAAATAAATTCAATGCATTGTCTGTCCCTCTTGACTGTAACTGACTTTCAGAGTCTCTTCATTAATTTAAATTGACTTACATTAAAAGAGTATGGCATCAGCTTAGTATTGCAATTCTACAACGCTGTCAGAGTCGCATCAGACAACTTTGACAACTGTTTTAAAATGTTCTTTTAATTCTTTGTCAAAACCTACATTACTCTTTATACATCTTTTTAACATGAAGTGCATAGCTGTCCCAGATACCACCACTTTGACCTCTGGAGCTCCAGGAGCAAGCAACAGCAAAGCTTCTTCGATGGTGCTGGCGTCATTCAACAAATGGTGAT